GCCCCCCGCTTTCAAAGCTGCAAAAACGGGGGAAGCGGTATCTTTGGAAGGTTGTTGCGAAATATTTTCTGGCCAGAATATTTTTCGAGGGCTGCAAAATATTTCGGCTTGCGAAGTATTTTGACTTGCGAAGTTTTTATTTTGGCTTGCAAAATATTCCGACTTGCGAAATAATTCGACTGGTGAAATTTTTTGGCTTGCGAAATCTTTTGCGTTGCAAAATATTTCGAGTTGCGAAATATCTTGAGTCGCGAAATGTTTTGCGTTGCAGAGTATTTTTTCGGGTTGGGAAATATTTGAAGTCGTGGCAAAACGTTTTGCGTTGCAAAATAGTCGGGAGTTCGGCGATGGGAATTGGGCGACGAAGGTTGGCAATCCAGCGATGGGAGTTGGGAGCCCGTGCGTTCTGCTCTCCCCGTGCCCTCCGCCTTCAGAGCTGCAAAAACGGGGGAAGCGGTTTCTTCGGGGGGTTGTTGCGAAATATTTTCTGGTCAGAATATTCTCCGAGGGTTGAGAAATATTCTGAGTTGCAAAATATTCCGACTTCCAAAATATTTCGACTTGTAAAATATTTTGCGTTGCAAAATATTTCGAGTTGCGAAATATTTTGCGTTGCAGAGTATTTTGATTCGCAAAATATTGCGAGTTGCAAAATATTTCGCGTTGCAAAATAGTTGGGCGATGGGCATTGGGCGATGAAAGTTGGGAGCTGGGCGATGGGGTTTGGGAAGTGGGCGACGGGAGTTGGGGGCTAAGCGATGGGGGTGGTGGCGAGTTTGGCGGTGGGATATGCGAATTGGGCGATGGGAGTTGGGCGGTGGGCGGTGAGCGATTTCGCAAGTCGCGGAATTTTTGGGAAGTTTGAAAATTGTAGAAAAATTTTCGGCGTGGATGATTTTCCTCCCCGTCGCAAAGTTTTAACTCACGCCGCTCAGCAATAGGAGTTATAGATGGATACCTGGCTCATATGTTGAGCAGACTCAATGGAGTGTTTTCCTACTCGTGCTAAATAAAGATACAGCCTCCGCGCCTGCTGCTGCGCAGCGGGCTCTGTGCATCGGCCTTGTTCCGGCAGAGTCCTGCGGCCTCTTCCTCGCTACCGGTTGCCTGCCCCCGCTCTGCAGCAGTCGTGTGCGAATGGCCGCGGGGAACAAGGCTGGCGGGGCTCCCTCATCTTTCCCCGCCCCCACCTGCCGCCAAAAAGTAGCTGCTTGCTAGCCGCTGGCCGCGTGGAACCTCGCGGGGCCGCTCTACTTGCCGCTCCCTCGCCAGCGCCGCCGCTGCTCGCCTGCCGCACACACAGACCGCGCTCGGCTTTACTGTGGTGCACATCATGAGCGATTGCGTGTACGCATTAATTTTAATACGCGCGCACACCGGGCCCAACTGGCACCAAGCAGTTTTTTTCTCCTAGGTTTAGGTTTAGGTAGGCCGCCACCGCCGCCGGCACGGGATGGCTGTCGACGCGACCGCCTCACCTTCGATCCGCGCCACCACCCTCATCTGCTGCTCGAGATCGATCCAGAAAGGGTGTAGTTTAGGTGTCAGGGTTTAGGAACCAATTTTAATACGCGCGCGCACACAAAAATAGACGCAATAGATTCGCAAGCGCGCGCTACGCATCTTGACCGACTACGTTGTCTGCTTTTATTGTCTCATTGTCATTCTTTATCGTTGATATGAAGCTTTTTTTTTGTTCGAGTAGTAATACTTATCTTTGAATTTGAAGATGGTTATTCTAACAAACTCC